TGGTGCATATATTTGAATGATAGTGGTATTCACTGGACTTCCTTGTATGCGTATAGATATTATCCTGTCACTGACAATATTGTACTTCAAGATAGATCTAGCAATGGCTTTTTTAACTATGAAAGCAACTCCATTTTTGAGGAAAATATAACATAGAAATGATAAAATATGTAAAAATATTTCTGGCCTAGCACATGCATTATTTGTATAAGATTATAGCAGGTACAGTAATATTTTGCATTCTAGAGGAAAAAAAATTGGTATTCCTCAGTATGTTTTTATTTTGTCCTGAGTTGGTATCTCTTAAAATGGTATTGCATTTGCTTGATAACTATTCCCTCCCCCAACAGTGTGGATGATTTGGGGCCATTTGTGTAATTTCTAGCAGAGGAACAGTTAAATATTTGTTCAGTGATCTGCAGATTACTGTCCTGTGTCTTTTAGGGCTATAACCATGAGTGAAAATTAACTTACTGACATGTAGACAAAGTCTGCACAATAAAGCACAATATGCATGCCATTTAAAAAAATGTATGCTATGGTGTTGTACTCCTAAGAATGAGATGCAGATAGATCAGGCAATAAAGAGAAGAGAGTGATACTTGAGGTACGCCTTGGAATTCTAGCGCTGTGGAATTTGATGAGCAAAAGGTTGTAATGAAATAGAGGGGTGCTTGTTGGTCATTGCAGTTGAGTAACAACTCACTTACAGCTGGAACCAACTGATTTTTAGAGGCAGTAAATTGCATGGAATGAGATTGCCTATCTTTCCTTTGGCGCAGCTAGTGGATTCAAACGGTATGCCTTTGGATGGGTAGCACAGCTCTACTCACTGGGCCACTAAAACATCTTTACAGATATGTAGCTCTTTCAAATCTATGGGCATATGGGTTCATAGAAGACTTCTGAAAAATGTATTAAAATTGAAAAATTAGACCCCAAGGGTTGTTTTTTTGTTTTGTTTTTTTTAAGTAAAAACAAATGAGAGCTACATTTTGCATTTGTGTGTGTATATATTTACATGTGGGGATCTCTGGTGGCCTGGTCGTTAAGAAGTTGTGCTGTACTCCCAAAGGCACATGGTTAGAATCCACCAGCTACTACTCCATGGGAGAAGGGCAGCCATTCTCCTCCTGTGTGTGATTTATTGCCTCTGAAAACTCACTGGATGATCAGTTACCAGTTGGTTCTGACTCAGTGGCATACAACAACATATATACTTAGATATACACACAAGTGAAGATAGATAGATAGATAGATAGATAGATAGATAGATAGATAGATAGATATGTATCAAGTTGATTATGACTCATAGTGACCCTATGAATAGCACCTCAGAACCTTGCACTATCTTGAGCCAACTTCACTGTCTCCAACACCTGACTCCTTTGTCAGTCACTGTGTCAGTCCAGCTCATCCACGCTCTCCTGCACTGATGCTCTACCCTTCCAAGGATGATGTCCTTCTCCAAGGACTGGCCCCTCCTGGTAACATGCCCAAAGCATGGCAACCGTAATCTTGTTTCCATCACTTCTGATGCTGCCTGTTGGTACAGTGATGAGGAATACAACTGGACACATACACACATATGGTGTTGTTGAGTTCCATTCAGCTGATTCCAACTCATAAGGACTGTGTGTACAATAGAACAAAACCCTCTCTGGGCCTGGCAATGATATATCCCCAGTGCCAATGCCTCTTCCAAACCCATCTTGTATTTCTTGCCGTTCTCTGGTGAGACATACTATTCTAGTCATTTTTGGATGATCTTCTTGTTTGCGTGATATTAGTGATACTGTTTGATGATTTCCACACTCTGTTGGATCACCACTTTTTGGAATGGTAATAAATATGTATCTCTTCCAGTCAGTTGGCCAAGTAGTTGTCCTCTAGATTTCTTGGTGTAACTTAGCAGAACTGCACTCCATACAGGTGTCAGTGGCTCATGTTTTACAATTAGATCACCAGCTCTTCCAAGAGTGGATGAGAATGATCAGCCCTCCAGGTAGCAGCCGAGTGCTTAATCATTTTATCACCCAGAGATACTGCTTCTCTCATAGACATCTTAAAAATAAATGAAGCACTGTTCTAGGTTGAATTGTTTGGGAAAAGTAAATTCATGTTCTAAAATCAGATATCTTCTTTGTATATTTCAAACCCTTCTGATGTCATTTTACTTAAAGTTACTTAATAAGTAACTAATTGGGTACAAGGTTTGCTGTTTGAGTCCACTAGCTGCTCCTGGGAGAAGAATGGGCAGTCTCCTTTTGTGCAGTTGACTGCTTCTGAACACCCACTGGCGGGTACGCTATGGGTCAGTTCAGACTCTACAGCACACAACAATAGCGTTTGGTTACAGAGTTAAAAAAAAATAGTTGTTTTACAGTTGGTAAAGAAATTCTTCTTTAAATTATTTGTGATTTTGACTTAAGTCCCATTATCTCTTTTGTATTAGAAAAAAATAAATAAAACCTATTAATAGAAAATAATTAATAAAATAACTGTGTCATTGTGCTGACTAGTGATCTTGATTTTACCAATTATGACTCAAATTTAGTCCTTTTATCTCTGAGCTGCTGAAAAGAAATATGTAAATTATCACTTACCTTCTCCTCCTTGTTTTTGTCCCCCCAGGTACATGGACTTTATCGCACAACAGGTGCTAGTTTTGAGAAGGCCCAGCAAGAGTTTGCAACAGGTGTGATGTCCAACAAAACTGTCCAGACTGCAGCTGCTAATGCCGCTTCGTCTGCTGCAACTAGTGCAGCTCAGAATGCCTTCAAGGGTAACCAAATGTAGAGAATCCTCAAACAATACACTTGTTATCTTTTGACTGTACTTTCTTTCCCCCCAGTTACTGTATTCTATAAATATTTTTATGTTAAAAACACAAGTACACGCAGCATGTAAATTTCCTGTTCACTGTGCATGGGCTAAAATGAGAAAAACTTCCTGTCTTCTTATTTTACCTAATGGTTTTCTTAATATTTCAGTGTCCCTTGCAGAAAAAAATAGTACATGCTAAATAAATATTCTCCACATTTTTTGGGGGATGAATGTTCAGCGAATTATTTCAGTGATGGCACACTGAAATTAATATGGTACTTAGGACTCAAAATGCATTTAGTATTAGCTGTAGTAGTTCTTTCAAGAATCTTTCATCATATGGATTACATGCCAGAACTGTAAAACAACGCTTCTTTCCTGTTTCCCTGTTTATGTTGGAAGAAATAGGGCAGTGGAGACTTAGGACCTTTTAAATTGGCTTGTTATGTGTGTGTATTTTTTGTTTGTTTTAAAGCAATTTCAGTCACTAGAAAAGAGCTTATGTGAATTCTGTATTAGATAATGTACATTTTATCTTCTTTCTCTTTTCTTTTTTAAGAAGGGTTGATTATTTTCATAGTAGTCTCTGATCTTGCATGGGTACCAAGTTCCTTAAATGAATTAGTATTTTGGGTCCTGCGCTGCTTATAGTTGTCAGATTGGAGACTTTTTTGTGAAATCATAGAAATAATTTTCTGTAATTTTACATAAAAATGTATTTGAGTGCAATATTCGTATGCAGTGCATTATCCAAAAGAAAAGGAAGATAGTCGAAGGCATAGAACTTAGAAGAGTCCATTTTTAATAATTTCAGTATTCATACTATTGTTGTGTACCATTGAATCGGAACGGACTCATAGCTGACCCTCAGGTGGGTTTTTAGAAACACTTAGTCACATTGGAGGATATTGCCCATCCTTCTACTGCAGAGCAGCTGGTGGACTCAAACTGTGTGTCTTTGGGATTGGACTGTAGCTTCTTAGCACTAGGCCACCAGAGCTCCCTATAGGAAACTTTGGTATATTTTTGTGGGTTTTTAGTTGAACTGAGAATGTGTTTGGCAGCTCTGTGTTTTGGTCTTGGGGGTTTTTTGTTTGTATGTTTTTTTTAGGTGGGTTTTTTTGGTTTTTTTCCTTCTGTTATTTTTAACAGAGGTATTAAAATTTAGCCCAACTCATTGTCTGAAAACAGCTTACAGTATTTTAGAGATTTTTTTCTTTTAGTCTCTCATCTCTAATGATATTTAAAAGAATGTCACGTTTCACATATACATGAATTCTTAATGTGTCTCCTTTTAAAATTTTGGGACAGACTGAAAACATCTACTGTTTCCATCAATATAAAAAACATTTTGCTCACACCAAGAAAGAAAATACAGATTAGTTAATACATTAATTACAGAGATAATATTAAAATTATCACTGTGCAGCACAGAAATTCATTCTTACAGTCCACTTGGTTTTAAACTTTGAGACGTTCTGATCAAGGGCCTCAGAGATATTTGTAAAGTCCTGTATTTTGGAAGTCTTTAGCTACTTTAAGATTGCAGAATGATAGGCAAGATTTATTCAATGTGATTTTATATAAGGAGAGTCTGTTGGGTTGTATTATCTGAGACTGCACATTCTTGGTTTAAAATATCAGAATGGCAGAAATGGTTAAATTACTGATTTCTCCTGTCCACATAGTTAAAATGCATTCCACACTAAGGGTGCCCTGGTAAGGCAGGTGACTCTCCCTGTTTATAAAGAGGCTCTGCATGATGCCAGGTAACACAGACTGATCCAGATGGTATTTACATTTGATTTATTTAGGGTGTTATTTAAATAATAATAATAATTCTGAAGAAAATAAAATTTGGAATCTGAGTCTGAAGCTGTTTTAATGACTATTTTTGATGAGTGATAATCTCTGCTCACATTTTCAATCAAGTCTGATTAAACTTTTCTCAGAGCATATGCTTTTGTAATTGAGGATTTGTTTCATCAGTGTGCTTTCAGTCATTAACCATGAGATACAGGAGTACTTATGTTAGGCATTAATGTAGATACCAAGTTTGATTTTTCCATAAATTAACAGATACCAATATATGGAGACTTTTGAAAAATTACTGAGGTGCATCCAGTATTTTCTTCATTGAGAGTTTCTCTATTCAGAAACCTCCAAAAGTAGCATTGTTAAATATTAAGGCTACAACCACAACATTTTTTGGTCTGGATAATCCACTTATTTGGATTGCCTTAATACGAGTTTTTGAGAGAAATGATGTTGATAAATATTTTTTGAAAAGCTGTCTATGAAAATGAAGGCAATGCTTACAATGTGATCAGGTATAAAAGGGGATTTAATTTTTTTATATTCCCTGTTCTCTGAACAGTTTTCAATAAACAGTTAAATTTTTCAGTAAGCAAAAGGCTGACCTTTGTTAATAGTGTTTTATGTTTAATACTATGAATTACCCCATATCACAGTTAAGAAGTGAGTCTCACATAGTGAATCATCCCTGTTATTTTTCAGTTTGCAATATATTAAATCTTGGCTATTTTAATTTGAAGTAAAGCTTGAACACTGGAAATTCATTGCTCAATGATTTGTAACTTGGGCCTTGAATTATTTATCTAGGATGTTTGTATATTTTGTCAGTGAGTAATATTGCGCTGCCATTCTGGTGACTGTCATGGTTCTGTATAAATACCCTTCATCCGTTCCTCTAATGTTGCATGTTTTCAGTGGTTTGGAAGTTTTGTATATTTATTGTATTAACACAAAGTGTCATAAAATAAAATGCTCTTTCCTGGAGGGTTTTTTTGTATAATTTTAAGCCTTAGACTGAGACTTCAAAGGCAGAAATTATGCAGGGTTTCATATACATAGAAACTTTATATTTCATTTAAAGAATAATCTCTGCATAATTCTACCATGTATTAAATAAATAATATAAAAGACAGTTTAAAACCTCAACATCATAAAATGACAATTTGTATATTGCATTAAGCTGTTACAGGTAGTGTAATATTAGTGTTATTGAACTCCATTTTAAGATCAAAACACATCAACTTCTTATCTAGAAGTTAGTCATATTTAAAATGGCAAATCAACTTTGTGGTCCTGATTTCTCCTTGTAGGTTGAAGTGAATGTCACTGTACTAGTATTTTATGGGTTCTCTTTCCTTGTGTTCTCTTTCCTAACCTCACTACCTATTGCTATTTTATGTATTGTTGAAAGTACCTATATATTTGTGTATTGTTGGATTTTTTTAACTTGCTTATTTAAAGATGTAAAAACAGAATTTAAAATAATGTTCATAATGAATCTTATTTTGGGAAATACATGTTAAAGTAGGTACAGTATTTTAGATTTCCTAGATGTTAACTAAGAAAAGAATAATTTAGAATTTCAAACATAATTTGCTAGAAATATATCTTATTCTGTATGCCACATTGAGATAATATATGGCTTGCGTTTTAGAGAGGATTTATGTTAAATTAGATTTATTGGTTGTTTCTATAAATCATTTGTAATAGTATACTGCTTTATAGTCATTGTGATCATCTTTATCTGAACACACTGACATTTAACACCTTCCTCCTTCTCCTTTATTGGTAAAATCTGTCTTCGGGATGACTGTTACGTGTGGGCCATTTTACCCCTCCCATATACAGTTTAGCATTACTGTGACCGTCATAAAACATTTCACTGTAATCCTTCCCTTTGTTTCCTACAGAAAATGTTGGTTTCTTGTGAGTAAGCCTTTTAGAGATGAAATAAATGTGGTTAATATGTAAATAATTTAGGATGGTTAAAAAGAAAATTTACTTTGGTAGATTTTCAAGCACTATATCATAGACTAGAATAATGTGCTTTAAAATACAAGAGTTGTTTTAAAACTTCCTTATTAAACAGGTTATATATCAATGGCTAAGTATTATGGAAAGAAGTATTTTCAGTAGAATTTTAGAGTCAACTATAAACTCACTGCTGCTGAGTTAGAAGCAACTCAAAAGCATACATTTTAAGTATTTTTAAAGCTATAATTTAGGTTTTAATACAGTATTAGTAGGAAACTGATGTTGTTAGGTGCCATCGAGTTGCCTGCAACTCATAGCAACCCTGTGTGCAATAGCTCTCTGAAGCCTGGCCTGTCCTGAACCAACCTCACTGACTCCTATACGCCTACCCCTGTTACCCCAGTTACTATGTCAAGCCATCTCATCAAAGAACTTCCTCTCCTGTGTTGTCCCTCTGTCATTCCAAGCATGATTTCCTTCTCCAAGGACTGGTCCCTCCTGGTCACATGCCCAAGGTATGTCAAAGAGAGCTTCAAAATCCTAGCCTCCGAAGAGATATTTGTTTTTACCCTCTTTAGTGCATTGTTCTCTTGGCGGTCTGTGGTGTGTTCATTTTTCTACTGCAGCACCGCAACTCAAAGGCATTGATAGACTTTTTTTTTTTTAAGCCACATCGTGCTAAATTAGCTTATTGTTGTGTGCCTTCAAGTTGGAACCAACTCAAAGTTGACCCTCCTGTGGGTTTTCAGTTAAAAGCTTGAGAGGAGAATGGCCATTTCCCAACCGCCCCCAGAATAGCTGGTACATTTGAACCTTGGTAGCATCACTCCTTACCCACTAGGCCATCGGGGCTCCTATTCAGACAGATATTTTTAGTTTAATGAATTTAGGAAAATATGAAAAGACCTTTCTCTTCTCTTTCACATTCTTGCTAATGCTTCATATTTACAGTTTATCCAGTGGTTTGGGTAAGACAAAGCCTTTAACTAGCACAATTTTCATTAGTGGTGGTTGTATTTTTAAACACAGAAACCACTACAAATACAGCACACTGAATGATACTTTGTATTAAATTTTATACAGTTCCAAATCTTGACTTATTTTTAAGTTTGTGTCTTTCTTGATTTGAAATGGCCTGACACTAAATTATTTTCTCTTTTCTTTAGTAAGGAAAGTAGTTAATC